GGACCCTGGGGAAGGGAGGGGGCTCCTGGGGGCCGTGCCCCCTTTCTCCTCACAGCCCCCAGCCTGCCCTGGGTGGAGGTGTAGTTGTTATTTGGGGGGGGTGCATTATGGAGCTCTTGACCTGTCCCTACTAGACATGTGAACACCTAGAAGAAACTCAACTCCCCTATTTTCAGGCTAAAATATTAATATGTACGAAAGGCTTGTGAAAATGAAAACATTTCTTTCTGAAGGTAGGAGTTGGAACACCCATCAATGCAGGAAACGAGACAGAAACATCGCCTGTGATCCTGTCGCTGGATGGACCACTATGAACATCTCGTGTATGTGCGTGTGTGTGCGTGTATGTGCGTGTGTGTGCGTATGTGTGTGCGTGTGCGTGTGTGTGCGTATGTGTGTGTGTATGTGCGTGTGTGTGCGTGTGCATGTATGTGCGTGTGTGTGTGCGTGTGTGTGTAATTACATAAATATATCTATTTCCCCGACTTCATTTAGAAAAGCTTCATGCTCACGGAAGAGTTGCGAAATAGCACCATGAACATACTTCCCCCTCGAATCAAGAATCAGTCCTGCCCTGGCCGGTGTGGCTCAGTGGATAGAGCGTCAGCCTGTGATTCCGGTCAAGGGCACGTACCTCGGTTGCAGGCTCAATCCCCGGCCCTGGTCAGGGTGCGCGCGGGAGGCAGCCACTCGATGTGTCTCTCTCCGGCCCTTCCACTCTCTCTAAAAATCAATGGAAAAATATCCTCAGGTGAGGATTAACAGACAACAAATAATAATAATGTTAATTCTGTGGATACGACAATCCGCCCCGAGGTCCCTCCACGACGCCTGCTGGGAAAGGACCGAGCAGGAGGCTCACGCCGGGACATGTGAATAGCGAGGGTCCTTATTCTGTTTCCCGCCTCCCGGAAGCACGCGGCAGCTCCCTAGTTTCCGCACCAGGACCTGATGGGGAGGATGCATTTGGCCGCTGTGCCTCCGTTCCCGTATTCTAGAACGGTCTCTCTCTTTGTTGCGATTTCCTCACGCCGATTTTTGGAGAGTCTGAGCGGGTGGCTTCGCAGACTGTCTCTCCGTGTGTGCGATCGGCCTGTTTCCTCACCGTTAGGTTCTGGACAGGTGTCTTCTTGGCCGGAAACCCACGGGGGGGGGCGTGGCGCCTCGATGTGTCCACTGCGGGAGCTGTGACGTCGGAATGTTCTAGCACCAGCAGCCTGGCCACTTGGTTGGCGAATGTCCCTGATTTATGTCCACCCTGGAGGGGGGGGGTCCTAGCTCCTGTGAGCAGCCACTCTGTTTACCACCCCCCTTTAAAAGGGGAGTCACACTGGCTGTCTGAATTAACATGCTTTTAAAAATATATATAGACTAGAGGCCCGGTGCACGAAATTCATGCACTGGGGGGGGGGTGCCCTGAGCCTGACCTGCACCCTCTCACAGTCCAGGAACCCTCAGGGGATGTCCGACTTACAGGAGAGGCTCCCACCACCACCGCTGCGCTCGCCAGCCATCAGCCCGGCTTGTGGCTGAGCTGTGCTCCCCCTGTGGGAGTGCACTGACCACCAGGGGGCAGCTCCTGTGTTGAGTGTCTGCTCCCTGCTGGACAGTGAGCATCATATTGACTGGTCGTTCTACTGTTTGGTTCAGTCGATTTGCATATTAAGCCTTTTATTATATACTAGAGGCCCGGTGCACAAAAATTTGTGCCCTCGGGGGGCGGGGAGGGGGGTCCCCCAGCCCGGCCTGTGCCCTCTCGCAGTCTGGGACCCCTCGGGAGATAATGACCTGCTGGCTTAGGCCTGCTCCCGGGTGGCAGAGGGCAGGCCCAATCCCTAAGTGCAGCCCCTGGTCAGGCTCAGAGCAGGGCCGATTGGGGAGTTGGGGCGCCGCCCCCTGTCATGCACAGAGCAGGGCGGATCGGGAGGTTGCAATGCCACCCTACTGTTTGGTTCAGTCGATTTGCATATTAGCCTTTTATTATATAGGATTTTTATTTCTTTCAGAGAAGAAGGGAGAGGGAGAGAGAAATAGAAACATCAATGAGTCATTGACCAGCTGCCTCCTGCATGCCCCCTACTACAGCTCAAGCCCACAACCATGAGCATGTGCCGGGAATCGAACCCAGGACCCTTTAGTCTGCAGGCCAATGCTCTACCCACTGAGCCAAACTGACTAGGGCAGAGAGGTGACATCTTCATTGTGAGAATGAGGGGCCCAGGGAGGCGCTGGGTACAGGTGTCCAGGCTGAAGGAGAGACAGGAGCATGTGGAGGCTCGGTGGCCAGTGCTCAGGGAGTGAGGGCGGCCGGCCGGAGTCTGCGGGGTCAGGGCAGCTGAGCAGGGCCCGGCGGTCGAAGCTGTTGTGGGAGCAAAGGGAAGGGGGACAGGAAGCCAGGGGCACATCCTGCCTGGGCCTTCAGATCCTTTGAGGTCGCTGTAAACACAGTTGAAATTTGGAGTCAATGTTGACACTGAGTTAAAGTTCCATCTCCCGGTCCCAGGGCAGCGAAGGTCGCGCTCCGCCAGTCGGCGGGGGAAGCAGGGCCACAGGGGTTGGCTGAGTGTCTGCACACTTTTTATTTTATTTTTTAAACTAGGGGCCCAGTGCACGAATTCATGCACCTTAAAAGGAACTGTGGGCCGTGAGGTGCGGTGGGCACAGGGGCGGGTCTCGGCCCATCCTCTGCACCCCTGCTGGACTCCTCCCATCACAGCCCCAGTCCCGTCTGCCAGCAGCCCTACTCCCACCGCTGCCGCTCCCATGCGCTGATGGCGCCGGCCCCGCTCGCACCCACTGACGGTGCGGAGCAATTGGGGCCGGTGCTGTCAATGGGTGTGAGCAGCAGCTGCTGCCCCGATCGCCCCTCAGGAGCAGGGGGAGGTGGAGAAGCCCTCAG